TACAGTATCCTGTTTGTGTTTGAGTAACGTCAACAAGATTTTGTTACGAACTTGGACAATCTGTTTGATATTGCGCATGCTGATGCCCTTAAACTGATGAAAATAAATGAAAATAGGGTCTCTTCTTGTAGCGGCAGGTCGACCTGGTCATTTAGCTGGGGTGGACAGGAAATTAACCATAAAAGAAGAAAAGACGCGTGTTAGGAACGACGAGGAAAAAAGCGGCGAGCTAAATATGTGGTTCCTTAACGCCTTCGACATCATCTTACGAACATGTAACTACAAAATGAGTGGTAGCATTAGATAGGTGTCAGTCAAATATGAGAAATGCTGTTTTTATTATTGAAGCTATCATTGAGGAACTTGGACATAACAGTGAGGAGTTTACGATAAGCAAGTCCTACATTCAAAGAATTCGTACCGAAAAGCGGAAGGAGCGCGGAAGCTATACAATAACCTTTAAATGCACGCAAGTCAAAAGAAGAACGTCTACCTATTATTATAATGAATGAAAATAAAGAGTAACTCTGTCGCTGTGTCCAAATTGTCCACATCAGGCAGCGAGCATGCTCAGCCAGTTTGAAATGCTATTATTGACTGGAATCTTGAAGATAAAGTTCAGATACTCTATTGTGATACTAATGCTTCCAGTAAGGATCGCATTAAGGGTACCTGCGTGCTTCTCGATCAGAAACTTAATGAAGAAATGCTTATTTTTGCTTGTCTACGAATTGGTATTAACAGGCATGTTTGAGTCGAAGATCGACCAAGTTCCAATGCTTAAAAAGTAAAACTGGAAAAGTGTGGATCCGAGAAAATAGGGATTTATGCTGAAAAGCTATCATGCTTGGATATTTCAGAGACTGACAAACTGCTAGAATTTTGTCGACATTAATTGAACAAACAGATTGCTAGGGACGACTATGGAGAATTAATAGAACTTTCAATAATATTCTTTGGCAGAGATACAAAGAAAAAATTCAAGATGCGACCGCTAGGCGCCACGCATCAAGGTCGATGGATGCCCAGAGCAATCTATTCATTAAAAATAGCGTTACTAAGTTTTCAGCTCTAACTTTCTAATAAGGATAAAGCAGCTCTGTCAGATATCTGCCTGTTCATCGTGACAGCATATGTGAAACCATGGTTGCAATGCACTTTAGCTGTAAAAGCACCTGACCAGGATTTATGCTTTTTAAAGGCAATGAAGGCTTACGGAAGGATTGATAAAACCATTTCAAAAGCAGCTTTACAAACGTTCTGCCAACATTTATTTATAGTATTTGACATACGAGGAAACTAACGTAAAAATTGTTACTAATTTAGCGACAGAAAGTCGATCAGCCCACGGTAAACGCTACATCCCATCGAAAAAAGAACTTTCTGGTCCACTTTATGGTAAGTCTGACGAATAAAATTTCCTTTACCTTCTTTTACTGCTTCGATATAATATGCTAACTGTTAAAATAAGCCAGCATAAACTGCGATTCTGGCACTAGATGGCACCTTATACTGTATTGTTTCGATAGATTTTATACCTCAGCTAGAGGTCAGTTGCTATGCTTTCGTTCGTTATCCTGACCTGAAGTCAAGACTAGACGATGCTGATGAGTTGCCAAAACGCACAAAATATCTATCCATGGGCGGAAGGACAAAACCAGTATATTTAGATGGTAGCTATTCTTCGTTTTGTCATTTCAGAGAAAAATATCAATGACTTTGTTTCAATCAAAAGCAAGGTCTTGTTCAGTCGACTCAAAATTGATGACAGTTCTCGACGAGTGTCCAACTTTATGACCTCAAAATAATTCTTTTCAACACGCTAAGTATAAGGCCCAGACACTGAAAGCAGTTAAAGATACGGCAGAAAGAGCAGTCAAGTTAACGCAAGACTTCGATGACTTAATCACTGCTGTAGAGGAACAAAAAAATTGTTTATTACGTTGCGTACAAGAACACAGGCAGGTATATCCTTACTGTAAAAAGAAAACTTTGCTTGGGATTCTAGGTGTCCTTGGCTGCAATCAGGAGTACTCAATGCAGAGCTATTTACCGTCCAGTACTGTGTTTTTAGATCTGATAGGGACTTAGTTAACCTAGAATGTATAAGAGGAGGTGGGGCGCTAATTGCCACGAAAGACTGGTTGAATTCGTCTGAAATTGATACAACTGCTGTTATTAAGAGTGATATCCCCTGTATAGACCTGGTAGGCGTTCAGTTTACCATTCAATATACTATAAAACCACATACATATTTGTGGTCTACATACCACCCAATACTAGCGTTGCATGTTATGAGCGCTTATTTGAGCATCTAGAATCTTTGACATACCTCTCTGGTAATGATGTTTATTTTCTTGGGGATTTCAACATTCCAGAGTTTTGTATACAGAATATCTCACCATCACGCAAATTGAATGTATTTGACTCCTTTACAGCATATTTTGACTTCCTACATATACAGTACAAATTCTTAATATTAACAATACATTGCTTGACCTAGTGTTCTCCAACAAATCATGCTTGGTGACTAGAGCATACGATGACCTATTGCCCGAAGACTCACATCGTCCTCCACTTTGTATTACATTAGACAGAGACTCTCGTAGCAAAACCTGGTCACAATCAAATGATGTTACCTTCAATTTTTGCAAAGCTGATTTTGTTAGATTGTATGAACAATTGACACTTATGGTCTGGTCATTTCTTAAGGATATTGCGGATGTCAATATTGCTTGCACTCTATTCTACCATAACCTAATAAATATTTTCAACATGTGTATTCCGAAAACAAAGCGTACGCCTCGCAAATTTCCACCCTGGTACACTCGCGCAATCATCAAGGATATTAAACAAAAGAATTCACTACATAAATTATACAAAAAACGTCAAGAGGTGAGTGTCTATGATACATTTAAAGAATTAAGATCAAAAATTAAAAGAGACGTTAGTCATGCGTATAAAAGTACATAGAGCAGACTGAAAACTGCATAAAAAAAGATCCAAATCAGTTTTGGTCCTTCATCAAAAGTAAAAGGCACAGTGGCCTTTCACCTTCTGAATTCACTCACAATGATTGTGTTTTCAATAACCCTGTTGATATAGCAAATGCCTTCGCTAATTTTTTCCAGTCTGTGTATTCTACCCCCAATGTAGCAGCTAGGCCAGATGATGATATTATTGCTACAAACAATATTGTGGTGAATAGCTTCACAGAAAATGAAGTTCTTATGGCATTAAAGAAAATGAAAAACAAGTTCACTGGTGGACCTGATGGTATACCTGGATTCTTAATCCGTGATTGTGCACCTATTTTTGCTGCACCTTTAACTAAAATCTATAACCTAAGTATCAGATCACATACATTTCCTGCGATTTGGCGTGAAGCCAAGGTTCGACCTATCCATAAAAATGGAAGCCGTAAATTAATTGAAAACCATAGGCCTATCACTATTGTGAGTAATTTTTCGAAAACGTTTGAAATGTTAATACATAATTTCATACAATACAACGTAAGTTATTCAATTTCTACAGCGCAACATGGATTTGTAAAAGGAAGGTCGACAACAACAAACTTAGTCTGTTTAACTCAATTCCTAGAAGGTGTTTTAGATTCTAATGGTCAGGTTGATGTGCTATATACTGATTTCAGTAAAGCGTTTGATAGGGTCGATCATGGTTTACTACTGGGAAAACTAAATAGCACTGGCTTATCCAAAAATTTGGTATTATTATTCAGTCGTATTTGTCTGATCGCAAACTATATGTGGATTTTAACGGTGGTAAATCAATTCACTTTTTTTCCATCAACTGGCGTCCCACAAGGATCTTCCTTAGGTCCACTACTATTCGTCATTTTTATTAATGACTTAGTTAATACGATTAACTGCAATATTCTGCTCTACGCGGACGACATAAAACTGTACTGGCAAATTGATGATCCATCTAGTTGCTTTTATTTACAAAGGAATCTTGACAAACCGTCTGAGTGGTGTGCTGCTAAAAAACTTCCCATCAACGTGAGCAAATGTAAATCTTTAACTTTCACTAGGAAAGTAAATGCAATTACCAATAGTTATAAAATTAACAACACTCCTCTTCAGACTTTAGAGGAGTTCAGGGACCTGGGAGTAATATTTGACAGGACATTGAGCTTCAATGCACACCTAACTAATTTAGTGAATTCTGCCAACAAAGCACTGGGATTCGTTATACGCAATTCAAGAGAGTTTACCGGTACCACAGCACCTACAGTGCTGTACAATTCGTTTGTTCTTGTTTGTTTCTAAACTGGAATACGGAACCATAATCTGGAACCCATGCTATGTTACCTCATGTGACTCATTGGAAAAAATTCAGAGGAAGTTCTTGAAGTATTTATCTCTCAAAACTGATGGTGTTTATCCTCCCATAGGGATTTCACAAAATATCTTACTTCAAAAGCACATGTTTCTCAGTCTTGATGATAGAAGGAAGATACAATCTTTAGTCTTTTTCTTCAAAGTTATAAATTACCAACATGACTGCCCATCATTTTTGTCTATGCTAAATTTCAATTCACCTAGAGTACGAACAAGGGTCAACCTTGCTTTTTACCTACCTACCCCACGAACGAATCTACTGCTGCACTCACCGCTATATTCGATATGCTCATGTTATAATGACTATAGGAATTATTTTGATATCTTCAAAACATCCATTTCTATTATTTAGAGAGTATGTAAAGCGGTAGTTTTTTTAGAGCTACCACAGTTTGATTGAGCTATGATCAGTGGTAGCTTTTCATGGATTCTTATTGGTAATTACTAAGCAATTAATGCAATTAGTTTATTTTGTGATTGTTATATATATATATATACATATATATACTGTACTTCCCATCAGTAATTGGTATATAAACTGTTGGTGGTGTAATTAAATAAATAAATAAATAAAAGTTTTCCAATATGACTTAACAAACGGACGCAGGAGGCTACATGTCACTGCATGTTGACACATGTCCATGAGTGCATAGTAGCCACCAGTTGCACATCTTTTGATTTAGTTGCTCAATCGTATTGTCAGTGCAAAGCGGGGACTATGGCATCGTGGTCACGTAATGAGATAAGGGCAGTTTTACGGTATAACTTTACGCGTGGTTTGAGCATAGACCAGTGCTTAGAAGAAATGATGCTTGTATTAAATAATGGTTGTCCTCATCGTATGACTATATTCAGGTGGCACAGGGAGTTCCAAAGGGTCAATTTCACTCTGGAGGACGCTGAGAGGGAGGGAAGGAAGGCAGCGAACGTCAGTAACAGAGGAAAGCATAACTGAGATGAGGAAAATGCTTGCCGACGACCGGAGAGTGACAAACCAACAGATAGAGGAGACCTTCATGCACCAGCAACTGATTTAATTCTGCATGACCATTTACACGTAAGGAAACTTTGTTCTCTCTGGGTACCGCATAGTCTGACGGAAGAGAAGGAGACTCGTCATACGACTTGTTGACGAAATATGCTGAAAATGTTTGTAAGGGGGCAATCTCGGTATGTGAACAGCATCGTGACAGGTGACGAGACTTGGCTCTATTATTACGATGTGCCGACCAAAGCTCAAAACAAAGTTTGAGTGTTTAATAATGAGGACACACCCGTAGCTGTCAGAAAATCCCGATCTGTTAAGAAAAAAATGATAGCTGTATTTTTTAAATCGAGCGGGACTGTGGAAGGTGTCGGTTTGACCAGACAGGAGACCGTCACAGCTAAGTGGTACACGGAACAGTGCTTGCCTACAGTCATAGAGTCTATGAAAAAACTACGGCCAAAGTCAAGAAGGGATCATATTGAAAACACCACGTTTCGTGGGTTGTACAGAAAGTTTTTGTCTTTTTTGCCTCTTTAATGATGCCTCTCGAATGTTGAATTTTTGGTCATCCGTGAGCTCGTGCGGAACGAACCGTGAAAACAGCTTTTTTCATGCCAAAATTGTTTGATTGGATCTTTAGAGATATGTAATTCCGTTTCTATGTATCTCAATGAAGATTTTGGATCATTTTTGATAAATTCACGCACTTGTTCGACGTTTTTTGGCGTAATCACAAACTTTGGATTGCCAACATCTTCGTAATTTACCACTCACGACCTTCTTTCTTAGAACTGTGTAAACCACTCGAGGACTCGGCTACGAGATAAACAATCATCACCATACACTTGCATCAACGTCTGATGCGTTTCGGTAAATGTTTTACCAAGTTTAACACAGAATTTTGGTTCTTTGTTCGATGTTCATTTTTCGACCGATACTAAAAAGGTACTGTCACTTTAAGCGCGATAACTTCGCGTGAAGTGGTTCGATTGTCATGAAATTTTGAAAGAGCATCAATGATAGATGTTCCTATCCAACGCTAGTCTCCGATAATAGATGGCACTACTTGTATCGGATATCTTTCAAAAGTCCTGTTTACTTTGCGACAGACCTTGTATACCCCCTTCTCCATTCTTCAAAATCAAAAAAATACTTGTGCATACCTGGCGCTGATCTGCTGCACGCTGAAGTTCGGCGAGGTTAGGAGCGGCTGATGCAGCTTGAGCTGCTACGCGCTGAAGATCAGCCAAATTTGGGCCTCCACTAGACTCCCTTTTTCCTGTGAATGGCAAAGAGATATATATTAATCACAATGTACTTACGAAACGAATCAGTTTTTCGAAAAAAGGATAAAATATTCATCAAAAAAAGTCCAAAAAATGCCTAATCGTTTTGTTGCACGAAACACAATGTATAGCTCAGATATACCAAGAAGAAGTTTATAAAAAGTTGAATCTTAAACTAATTAAGCATAAAAGGTATTAAAATTAATTTTGTTGAGAAAAATTATAAAATGAATAAATATAAGATTAATATTGAAGAATATAGAACATGGAAATATTGGGCACAACATTCACTGCCCTACTTCAACTGTCAAAGTGACAGTTGTGTTAACACGTTAATGTTCTTTAGATAAAAAATACCCAATAGCCAGTTACTGATAGTATAAACTAGAGTTCCCCAAACTTTTTTGTGTCGTAGACCGCTTGCCATGTTTTTCCGTGTTGGGTAGACCCCCTACTTGAATGAATGAATGAATCTTGAATTTTAGAGGCATCCCGGCCACCATAAGGAGCCAGTGCATAGGCCGCTTAAGCGGGCCCTTATGCACCTCTACAATACTTAAATCACAAGCCTCGCCCTTTTAGCGAAGTTGAGAATCGCCTTGAGTCCAAGCTCCTTTACGTCCTGAGGGTCCAAAGTAATGGACCCCAGTATAGTCTGCCTATAGTAGCTCAGAGCTTCACAGCGACACAAAACGTGCGCCGAGGTCTCTTCCTCTACTCCGCAGCGTTCGCACAAGGGATCCTCAGCCACCCCCATCACGTGCAGGTGCCGCCTTAACGTGTTATGGCCAGACAACAGTCCCACCAGCAACCTTAGGTTGGCTCTACCCAGAGATAGGCAGAAGCGTCCATCCTTAGCACTGGGCCCTTCAATGAGCTCTCGTGCCTGGCGGAGATGTCTAGAGATACTTCTCCATTTCTGAGAGTGTTGTCTTGCAACCCACGTCTCCATTTTCCTCCTAGCTTTATGCGCGGTTACTCCTAGAGCTGGCTCAGGACCAACGAGCTTGCTGGCTGATCCTGTTTTCGCCAGAGTGTCCGCCGTCTCATTGCCCCTTATCCCAGCGTGCCCCGGTACCCATATTAACGATACCGGATGCCTCGCTGCGAGGCAATCCAGAGCCTCCCTGCATTGCAATACAAGACTCGAAGTAATCTTACATGCACTTAGTGCTTTCATTGCAGCCTGGCTGTCGGATAAGATTGTTATTCTTCTCCTAGGCCCACCCTCCTCCAGAATGTGAGATACACAAGCCAGAATCGCAAAGATTTCCGCCTGGAAAATGGTGGTGTACTCACCGAGAGGCAGAGATAGCCTAGTTCTAGGTCCAGAGACCCCAGCACCTGAGCCCTCTTCGGTGACCGAGCCGTCCGTGTACCAGACCTGCCCGCTCACTTCGGAGAGTCCTCGGCTACCGGCGTCCCACTCCTCCCTCGTTGGGTACTCCACAATGAACTTGCGGTTGAAGCGATATTTAGGGGTAATACGATCACCCCTGCTTAGAAGGACGGGGTCCTCCCTTTCTAATTCGACTAATATGGCAGCATGCCCCTTGACCGGATTCAAGAAAGCCCAGCTGCCCTGACTCCACAGTCGATGAGCGACTACTCTCGCTTCACCGCGGATCACCAGATCCAACGGTGGGAGATCCAACAGAGCTTCCATTGCACTCAATGGCGTTGTTCGCACTGCGCTTGTAATGCTAATACAGGCCAAACGCTACCCCCTACTTACCTGATATTGATTTCCTGTAAATTTCTAACTGTAGTGAAGTTTAGTGTTAAAGTAAAAACACATGTTAATTTATACATTTATTAATTGAATTTAAATTAAAACTACTCAAAATAAAATTTTGTATCTGTTATGTAACGTAACATTAAATAAACAGGTGTCTGACCAATAAGTGCCCGCATTGAAAAAAAAATTAGAGGGATAAAATAAATAAAAAGTGAAAAATAATAAAAAAAAAAGTTTTTTACTTAAAATAGTACAATAAGCGAGTTCGTTTATTAATTATAACATAAACGTATGTTCTACAATAATTTCACTGTTAGTTTGATTAAATTCCGCTTCTTATACGTAAGTTATCTAAAAATAGGCAAAAAATTAACGAATTTTAACGTGTACCTATCCTTGAATTTTCAGAATAGTTTCAAAAAAATATTTTCTATAAAGGGGGGTTCTTTAAAAAAATCAATGCGGGCACTTATTCCCAATACGGGCATATATTGGTCAGACACCAATAAACATAAAATAAACTATAAATAAAATAACATAAGCAATAAGTCAATATTTTTAGTGAGAAGGATGAACCTGATGGTTTAATAATAAATTATCAACATTTGGCGTCAATTTTGTAAGGGTTAATCTTAAATCTCCTCGGCTAATGATGTCCAGTCTGTTTCTTTTTTTCGTTAGGAAATTGGTAACAGCGCTGAACCCCCTTTCCACTAGGTATGACGATGGAAAGGAAATTAAAAATTTCCTCGCTATATTCCATAATACGGGATAAGTAACGGGTATGTTATTTTGCAGCCAGAATTGCTGATATCCGTTTTTAAACTGAACCTTAAGTTCTTCGTTTGTACTTAGTTCAGTCAGTTCCTCTTGTATTATGACATTCATTTCTTCTATGTCACCATATGGATTAATTCTCCACGGTGGTATTACCATAGTCAAAATATCTTCAAACCTAGATTCAAAATCTGAAAAGAGGGCATTTAAATGTTGAACGTAAGTTGAAACGTCGTCTTCCTGGCAGCTTGTCTGTGACAAATTGAGGAACTGAGAAAATTCGCACCGTCCAATATTTTGCTTCATTAGTTTAACTCTGGCAAGAAACGCTGGTAAGATGGACTTTGTTTTAATCAAATTTAAACTGTCGCCTTGTAATTGCAAATTAACCATATTAAATTTTGTAAACAAATCTGTTAAATAGGCGATGTCTGTTTTCCTCTTCATTAAATTTTCTTTTAAAATTTTATCTTTAGTATCCAGAAATTCTAAAATAGTCTCAAAAAGTACAAAAAATCTTGTCAAACATAAGCCTGTCGACAGCCAGCGTCATTTTCTTCACACAACTGCGCAAATAACCGCGTATTCCACGCGTTGCTTCGGATTCGGTTTACTGCATCAATGACTAAATGAAGTGATTTATGCAATCTACCACTCATATTTTTAGCAACTAAATGTCGATGGATGACGCAATGTATTGCTAACACCCCTGACACATTTTGTTTTAAATAGCTTATAAATCCACGATAACGTCCAACCATGGCAGGTGCTCCATCTGTAGCTACTGATATTATATTTGATAAAGGAATTGCTTTTTCAATGAAGTAATCCTTCAAAACATGAAATATTGATTCACCTTTAGTGTCGGTTATCAAAGTTCTTGCGAAGAGCAGTTCTTCGTAGATTTCTTGATTGATAATAAAACGAACATATGCCAATAATAATGCTGCATTATCAGGTAAAGTTGACTCATCCAGTTGTATAGAGAAATGGGTCGTTTGCAAATAATTAGCTTTCAATATCAGAACTCATTTCATCAATACGTCTTTCAACAGTATTGTTGCTTAATTTTTTTAATGATATCAGATGCAGGTTTGTGTAAAACGGTTTTCCGGATTTTGCTATAAGTAAGGAGATATTGTAAGACGCCCGCAAACCATCATCGTTTCTTTGTGATCTCGAAGCGAACATTCTGTCCAGTGTAGGTCTCTTCTGAAATTTATCTTTGAGTGTTTGAAAGTATCTTTCTCTGTTTCAGGGTGGCATCTTCTCAGATGATCTTGCAGTTTAGATGGTTTCATAGCGTCATTGCCCAAAACTTTGTTGCATAAAAGGCACATAGGCGATTGTTTGTCCGGCAATCATGGAATGAAGCCAAATTTCAAATAATCAACACTGTACTGTCTACATTTCTTTTTAGATTCGGACATGGCATCAGTCATCTGTGGGCAAAATTAAATTATTTAAATAAGACAGAAAAGCCAGCAGCTGTATATTAAAAATATTTTTTGATTTTTCTGAAAACATTCCATAATTCGAACATCTTCTTGCAACAATTATATTACCGATTGCTAAAACTTTCAAAAAGAAACTATTGAGGAGTACTCGTGTAATTTTGCATGATTGAATATTTAACTACTAATAACTAAAGTCATGATTGGCGTAGTTTATCTATCTTTGCTAACTACGAGTACAAAACTAAAATTTAATAAAAAATAATGTACTTACTTTTCTCCAGCACTCTCAAATAAAATAACTCTGACTCACTATAATTTGTGTGATATACTATCTGTTTATAATTTTTAAAATATTTTCATAGCACTTTCCTTTTCAAGATTCAGGAAACGAATAAACGTATTTGTCCCACATTCGTCTTTATAGAGTGACGAATTGAACAAGTCAGTGCAAGGTAGCGAAGCTCTGAGACTGCGACTCTCAGGTTTTTACAAGTTCTAAATGTATTGCGACCACAAAGCGAATACAAACATCCTACAACTTATACAATTTTATAAACATATATAATAAATTTTTTACTTCATAGGTACTTTTATAAATAATGTATATGTTTTGATATTATAAGATAGTATGATGTAAGTAAATAGGTACTATCAGTGTATGTGTTGAGATCCACTATCGTGGACCCCCATATTCATTTCATGGACCCCCAAATTTTTTTTCGCTGACGTAGACCCCTTGCAGGTTGTCATAGACCCCTAGGGGTCGATATAGACCACTTTGGGAATCAATGGTATAAACCAATAAGTATCAGTCTATCCAATAGGCCAATCCATTGAGAAAATTAACTCTGATATGTAGGTCAATTGGGACACCCAAAAGTTTAAATATGGATGTCTTGCTATAAATTGACCCCCCTCTATTTTTTGTATGAACTTTTAGAAAAAAGTTATATACATAGGGTCTAATATAAAGTTTTTACGCTCTATACCCTACCGAGCGGGGCCATGGCAAATGCTTGTTCTGGGAGTTGTTGTATTCAGTATACAACTTCTTCCCTTCAAGCGATTGTACAGGCGTTAAGGAATACCTCGGTCGGTTATAATTCCCCATCAAAGAAATTAATGATGATTAGTGGAATCGAGGGGACAACATCGATGATAAATTTGTTTCACGAATATCTGCGGGATTAACAGCAACATTGATGCTTTTCATCACTACCTGCAATCCAATCGTTCCGCCATTCTTTTCTTGGTGGAGACAAAAATCACAGAGTCAGCATCGATTAATCATCTTAGGTTTCTAAATTACGAGGTGCACTCTAATCCGAGAAAGAACGGGGGAGCTGTGGCTTTTGTCCGCAGTAGTCTTTCCTGCTCCAGAGACGTTTCTTTGGAATCAGACTGGAAGGACATGCTGTGGCTCCGCCTCAACTCCAAAACATCCCCCAAAATCATTTGCTGCCTTTATCACTCTCTCTCGGAGCATAACGTGAATACTCCGCTGTCAAGGTCGACTTCCTTAACATCAATCACCCCGCGTCTCCTCGGCAATTTCAATGTCAATTATAAGCTTTGGTTGGGCTCAAACAAAACCGATGCAGCCGACCCAGCTGGTGACGAGCCCTAATTTTTCCTGCGCGTTTCGTCACATGCCAGTAGCCTGCTGGATCTCTTTCTGACCATGGATCCTGTCCTGTCTCCCCTGGGTAACTCAGACCACGGTGTTGTGGAGGGTAGGTTTCGATCAGAACCCGCTGTGGTAGTAGAAACTCGCGCAGACCGCAAAATTTGGTATTACGGACATGCCAAATGGGAGGAGCTCAGAAGCTTTTTCTCCACCTTTCCTTGGAGAGCTTTTTGTATCGCTGATGCGGATGCGTCAGCTGTCTGTTCATCGATAACCGAAATTATCCACGTTGCGATGAAGGAATACATCCCTCATACAGTGAAAGTACATAAACCAGGACCCAACGGCTGGTTCAACAAATCGCATGATACTGCTAGCCAGCAGAAGATCATGGCACACAGAACCTGCTTACAAATCCCCACTGTAGAGAACAGACAAGCCGACGTCGAGTCCAGAAACAAATATAACGATGTGGTTCGCAATGCCAAAGACCAGCACGATATAAAAGTGTGGCACAGGGTAAAGTCGCAGCGCAATGACATTCGGTCTTTCTGGGCGCCGGCCAAGGATACTGATTGAAAGAAACTTCTCACAGAGTAGCCTTCTACCATTTACGAGTCAGAATGAAACGATAGTAACCAACTCAAAGGACAAGGCGGAAGTGCTTGCCAAGATTTTTCCCGCCAACTTTACCATGGACGTCCCCGCCCCCCAGAAGTCGTTCGTAGGACATCATCAACATAACGCACATTATGCCATTCTGCCTCCCAATATTGCCGTTCTCTGCTCCAGTTCAAACGTTGACGACAGGAGTCCGCAGTCAGAGGAAGCACTAACCGTGGACGGTATGGAAAAAGACCAAAGCTTTTCGTAAGTTCCTGCAGGATAATGAACGACAACTTACACCATTATAAGCGCTATCAATGTTTGTTGGAGCTGACCTTTCAAAGCGGCAGTACGAAATAATTAGGAGTATAAACAAAAAATACTATCCAAGTTATAGTGTATTTCAAAGGGCGAAAAAAGAATGCTACCCACCTAAAGCATCGTATCAAGTGACTGAGACGAGTGCTGAAGCAAATTTTCAACACTTGCTAGATCATACCGGAACACGACTGTTAACGTATTTGGGAGAAGTTTTAAATGATTTTGATTAAGAAGAATGCAGCACATTAGTGTTGATTTGTAAATGGGGTTGTGATGGTTCACAGCAAGCTCAATTTAAACAAAAAATGGAAAATAATGCTACAGATGCCAATATTTTCCAAAGTTGCTCCGTACTACTTCAGTTAGCTTGCGGTAGAAATAAAAAATAATAATTTGGCAAAACCTGACACCATCTTCGCCTCGTTACTGTCGCCCGATTAGAATAAGATTTGTCAAAGAGTCAAAGATTAGTTGTATAGAAACTGCCATAAATACATTACATAATACTGAATTTACAATGGGAGAGAAATCCTATTCGGTAAAGCATATAATGAAAATAACCATGGTGGATGGTAAAGTATGTAATGCTGCTACACATACCTCACCGACAATGAGATGTTACATTTGTGGAGCAACTTCTAGACAGCTCAATGATTTAACCATGAAGAGGGATATTAATATAGAAACGTTAAGCTTTGGATTATCAGTATTGCATGCCAGGATCAGGGTATTTGAAATCAAATTACACCTGTCCTATAAACTTTCAATGAAGAAATGGCAAATAAGGTCAGATAAGGACAAAGCTCTTGTAAAACAAAAAAAAGCAACAATACAAGAAGTACGAGAATTTAGAAGGGAAGCTGGTTCAATAGTAGACGTGCCAAAAGTTGGTTTTGGAAACACTAATGACGGTAATACCAGCAGAAGATTATTTGCCAACCCACAACTAGCAGCCGACATAACAGGGGTCAATTTCAAACTTATTTACAGACTCAAAGTAATCGTAGAGGTTATATCAAGTGGTCATAAATAACGTCAACTACGAACAATTTTCAGACTATGGTTTTCAAACTGCTAAACTTTACATTAAACAATATCCATGGCAGCCTATGACACCTACAATGCATAAAATCCTTGTTCATGGTGCAACTGTAATGGAAAATGCATTATTACCTATCGGGTTGCTATCAGAAGAAGCCGCAGCAGCACGAAATAAACATTTTAGGCTGTACCGTCAAAACTTTGCTAGGAAAGTTTTAAGGGAGTCGTGCAACCTTGATGTATTCAACAGGTTGTTGCTAAGCTCGGATCTTCTCTTGAGTAGGATAAGGCCAAAGCCGAAAAAGACAACTAAACCATACTCAAAAGAAGCCATTGATATGTTGCTTCCAGCTGATCCTAACCCGATAAATGATTCGGACACTGAAGAATCCACGGAAAAAGCAGAAGAGGAATCTGATGTATCGTGGCACTCATCGCTGTAATTATCTTAATAATTGTATACCATCTATATTTTCCCCATTAAATAAAAATCGAACTTACTATATTCTAACTGTATTTTATTATATAACTATATCTATTTTATTTATATAACTCAATTATACATGAAATATAACGCATTCAATAATGATCACCAAAGAAATAATTTTGACCAGCCAAATCGGTCAAATACTCCTATGTGCGGCAGTCAATTTCGCGCTAGGACAAACCAACATCGCGATATGCAATAATTCAACCCCTGTCAAAATCGCCTTCGAATTCGAGGCATTTTGTTATGCTTTACACTAGTAAATGCAGGTGCAATAACTAAAAATATCTGTACTACTCAGCTATCAGAAACTGCTTTCTTCACAAAAACTAAGAGATAACATTTTAAAAAAGGTAAACAAAAATAAAGATAAAACGTTGACATTGTTGCCACAGCATGCTTTAAATATAGTCATTGTGTTGCCAAAAAAAGAAGTTGAACAATTTATTTATTCTGGGTGTAACACTTCTGTCACTGAGTATATAAAAGAACATAATAGGCATCCGTGCAACACTAGTTTGACCATAAGAGAACGCTATGTACATAATCGGGTGTGAACACGCTGGTCCTTGAGTTAACAACAGCAAATCTATGTAAGTCACATTCAGTCAGTTGCATTTAAACATTCCCATGTGAGAAACCCTCCCATCGTCTGTTGCGACATTAGTGATGGAGACGAGCTGTCGTCGGGATGCTTTGGGTGAGAACAGTGGCTAAAGAATCACCTCTTGAATGTTAGTCCTACGTTTTGAAAACTTGAAAACAATGTAAAATAATTCCATATGACTTATGCGTGTTCATTTAAATCATGCCGCTTGCAATGCGAAAGCCAGCGGAATAGATTGTACCTGATTGTGAAGAGGCAGCGGCTGCAGCTTGAGCTGCTGCTTGGGCCATGGCCAACTGGTATGGATAGAACAGCGGAGAGAACTGCAACATGTGCGGAGGTGTATTTGATAAAGCTGTAACAAAACATATATGTAGTGTTAATATTAGTATTTCCAATATATATTATATATACAGTAATGGACAAAAGTATATAGACAAATTAATATTATGCTGTATTTCTTTTTTAACTTATTTTATTAATACACCAACCTGTATACATAATTCGTTGTAGCATAATACTCACTAATACATAAATAAATTCATTAGAATCCCTTCAATAAAAAATTAATTTAAAAAAACTGGAACTATGAGGGACAAAAATATATAGACAAAGCAAACAATTATAGAAAAAAGAAGCAAGTTATCCATAATGCCATCTATTCTATGTAAAAGTCCCATCCCAAACCCCGAAAAGTACCCCCAAACCATCACAGACCCGCCTCCATGTTTGACAGTGGGCAAAGTGTACTTGGGGTTCAATCTTTGTCCACTAGGATGTCTAACGTAATGAACACCATCTGATCCAAACATGTTGCACTTGGTCCAGTCACAGATGCTCCAATCAAGATGCAACCGTGCAAATTGTAATCGGTCCTTACTCGGGGGACGTGCAAATAACTTCAAATTATTTAATCTTCTACTTATAGTTTTCGTAGAAACACTGGCAATTCCTTTTGTCTCGATTTCGGCTTTTATTTGTCTTGGGGCTTTAAACGGATGTTTGGACGAAATTACTTTTATTAATCTAACTGATCTAGCATTTAGTTTTCTAGGCCGACCACGTCTCTTAGAGGCTTCCAAGATACCTTTTTGTTTATATTTCTTCAATATTGCCCAAACTGCTTTACGCTTCAGCTTCAAATTTTTGGCAATGTCGACTTGTATAACTCAATGATCTTAGTTTTCACATCGAAAGAAATTTCTGGACCACGCGGCATGGTCTTAAAATCACTCAATTTATTCCACAATACTTGATGAACATAAACTAATCCTATTCCGACACGAAACTGTACTAAACTAATGTTGAAAAGAATTTGTCTACATATTTTTGTTTATCATAAAAAAGTGCTTATATTCAGACTTGTTTGTGTTCAATACAGATAATGTAAAACCAAGGAATTTAATTTTTCTACTAATAACGCATTTGTTTATGGAGCAATGAAGTATGAATTCGTTTTCTAAAGGTATTTAAGTAAATATTCATATTTGTCTATATACTTTTGTCCATTACTGTATATATAGAGTGGCCCATCCATCTGTGGACGGAATATTACTCATAAACAAATACATTTTGGGAACATCTATTTATGGCATGTTATACATAACATTTGAGGGCACATTTCTAAAATATTGGCAATTATACAGGGTGTCCCAATTTTGACCTACATATCAGAGTTTTGATTTTTTAAATGGGATGCCTCAAATTTTATTACATATTTGGATGAACCAATTCAAAAGAAGAATATTGATATAACATACTAAGGGGTTTTGGTAATTAGCTACTGAGATGTAAGGTGTTTTGTCCAGAAAAACCGTCCACTTCGGTAACCCCTCAATCCGCCATTTTGAAATTTGGAATGCTGAATTTTGCATCAAAAAAAACTTACACACACTCAGCTTTTATCTTACTTATTACTTGTTCAAATTTTCATTTTTGCTCATACAGGGTAGTCAAAAACGCGAATTGTACTTTTTCTCAAAAATTTCAAATGCATCACCCTTTATATTTGTGCAAGTTTGGATTCAATTTTTAATAAACTTTTTTTTGTATAAGGTTTGATTCAGATAAAATTACTAGATTTTGAGTTATTAAGCTTTTAATAGAACAACACACCAAAATTAAGGGAAAAAAATCACATCATCCATGGAAACAAAAGACAAACAGTGGGCTAGTTCCATATTGCCACTTAGGCCCGTATCGTCAGTCGTCCCTACAATTGTAGGGCGCGTTTATGGCCTCATTGATTGTCATACTCCTTTCTCTCCTTCAAAAATTTGTAGATTACACTTGTCCCGTGTCAGCGTCAGCGCTCTCCTATTGTGAAGATATGTTTTCTTTTTAAATTGTAGGAAATTTCAGGCTGATAAAACATGATATAACTCAAAAGCAAAATAGATGTTTGTGACATAACCTCAAAATAGAGCGCTGACACGGAGAAGTAGAAAACTATGACAATCAAGGAGGCCATAAAGGCGCCCTACAATTGTAGGGACGACTGACGATACGGACCTAAGAGTACAGATTTGACGTTTATTTTGGAAATCTACTTGCCTAACCCAGTAGGGGTTTTCCGTCGCATAATAGTACATGTTATGCCTGTTGACAACACCTATGCTGTTAAAAGTTGCCTCATCGCTAAAAAAACCTTATCCAGGCAACTAGTGTCTTCACTCACTTTATTTAGCATTATTCTACTAAACTCCATTCGAGCTGCGAAATCCTGAGGACGAAGGCCTTGATGCAAGCATAGATGATATGGATGGTACCTATGCTTGTGAATAATCCTTTGGACAGAAGTTCTGTATATATCAGTTTCTGCTCCAATTTGCCGTGCACTTAAATGGGGATTTTCCTGCTACTTTAATAGAACCTCCAACTGGTTCGCCTCAATGGAGACACTTGGATTATTTATTCATTTTTTACTATATTCCACCGCTATACTTGATTCAAAACGTTCTCGTAGTGTGAAAAATGTTTCCGGCCTTGGATGTCGCATATTACAGTACCGTTGCTTATAAATGCGAGATGCTAGGAAACTATTTCTTTGGGCTTCGACCAAAACACAAAGCTAATTTTGACAGTTTGTAACTAATCAACACTTTATTTGTTTCCAAGAATGATGCGATATTTTAGGCAATTAAGCCGTTCCATAAAAGACGTGCTAATTAATAACCGAAAAAATAGCCGTAAAAACCTTCAGATGTAAATTAAAATTCGGAAAAGTAGCAAATAAGATAAAAGCTGAGGTGTGTAAGTTTTTTTTGATATAAAATTTAGCACTCCAAATTTCAAAATGGCGTCGTCGAATAAAAAACTGGACTGATGCGGTTTGATCAGGACGGAATTATTTTATTATTAAATGGCAAATCATTTTGAAAAGTTTTTTTAATTAAACGTTGATTGATTTTGGAACTATCAACTATTGAAAATTCCTTCGAGATTTCATCTTTTTTTCACTGATAACCTCCACATTATCCAACACACAGCAGTTGGCCGGCACGTGGAAGTATGGAAAGTATTATCAGAGATGCTTATTACCCTTGTTTTCATCTGCTTCATCAAGTTGATTTTAATCCTTAGTTTATGGTATGACCTAAAATTGAGGAAACATCCTGAGGCCATGGGTTTCTGGTACCAGTCTACCAATAAACTATTATTGTTGGTGCGGATGAGTATCGTGTCTAGAAAAGGGACAGACAGGTTCTCATCTTCTTTTTCAATGGTAAATTGGATGTAGGGGTCATAGCTGTTGAAATCTCCAGCTTTCACCAGACTACTAAATGTTTCCCTCAACTTAAACGTCAATAACATTTAGCAACAATCTCACATACATACACATACATACAAATGTAAGTTACTTTAAAATCATTTTGCACAATAGTTGCTATTTCTTATCAATGTTACTGCAGCTCCTGATGAAGATGGCAAAGTCCATTGAAAGCTAGAGGCTAATAAAGTATAAAGAGTCCTCATTGCTTGAACTTTGTCGAAGTACCCAACTAAAGGCGGAAGCTTTATTTTTCACCTAACTGGTCTAGACGACAATGACCACATCTCAAGATATATATATATAAACAGGGTGACTTGTCACGTATTCCTGTTAAGGGGTGATAGATTAGGTCAAAAGCAACCGATTTTGTTCTATAATGTCCTATCCAGAAGTTAACCGTTTTTGAGTTATTTGAATTTTATTTTTTTTATTTTTATTCCGATTTCAGACGGTTAAATTTGAAATACAAAAAAACTACACGTTTGATTTTGAGTTTTTTGTTACCGTCGCATAGCGGACATTCCAATAGTTCATAATAAGTTATAAAATGTTGAAAACTTACAAAAGTTTTAAAATTACGCTTTTGAAATGTATGATTTTCTTATTTTTTACTAACTTATTCGATAAAAAATGCAATTTTCTGTAAAAAATCTCCTAGTAATGAAATGTGCAGATTATGTAAATAATATCTCTAACAAGCTTTCATTTGAGGTATAAAAGATACAACTCAAGTACAAAAACATAAAATTAAAAAAAGATTACTAAAGTTGTACGAACGATAATTACGTAGGATAAATAAAAGGCTTTTATTTTAATTACAGTTTTATTTAATTACATTTCCTTTAGTATTTTACAGATTCTGCTCAAATTTGTAATCCCCTGTTACGAATACACGCCCGCAGTCTCTTACGTAATTCACTTTTGGTAATTCTAGTTGTTAAGCGGCTTTTTATTTGGTCAGCTGCACTGATTATCCTTGTAATTAATTCATCGCGCGTTGGTACGGGCGAAACATCGTACACCAGGCTTTTCATATGTCCCCACACATAGTAATCCATCGGTTTGAGATTTGGGCTTCTTGCTGGCCAGGCAATGGGCCCGCCTCTGCCAATCCATTGATTTGGAAAATTAGAGTCTAAATACGCCCGTACTAATCTACTGTAGTGTGCGGGAGAGCCGTCGTGCTGGAACCGCATATTTTGTCTCGTCGCCAATGGGACATCTTCCATTAATGGAAACGAGTGATTTTTCAAGAACTCTTCATACACTTCTCCATTTAAATTGGCGGGCAGAAAATGAGGTCCAATTAAATATCCATCAATGATGCCCATCCACACATTGACTGAAAATCGGCTCTGAGACCCCGTCGGTCTTATTTTTCTGGGGTTTAAAGCTTCTTTATCAGCCCAGTAATGAGCATTATGGTAGTTAGCGATCAAGTACTTATCAAACTTCGATTCATCGGTCCACAGAATTTTCTTAAAATAGTCTGGATCTTCTGTATCTGCATGTAACATGTACCTGCAGAAATCTAATCGTATTGCAGGATCGCCCTCTTCAATCACATGTACAGGCGTGTACTG